AGCAGACGCGAGCAGCAATGGCATATTATTCTGTTTCTTTGTGTCACTAACGGTACATGTAGATGTAGTCAGTGCATGAACTAGACTAGAATGCATGCTGAACTTTTATTTTGATTATTATTAGGTTTGGTAACATCGATCCTCCTTCCATCCGTGTAACACCTCAAAACTCCGACGACGACATCGCCGACCGCCTCCACCACAGATGGACGGTTATGTTGCTGGCCCTGCTGGCCTTGCTGGTGACGTATCAGGAATATGTTGGCGACCCCATCCATTGTTGGTGCCCGGCTCAGTTCACCGATTCTCACTGTAACTACACCGAGTCTCTTTGCTGGATCCAGGAGAACTACTTCGTCCCCATTGATGAAAGTCTCCCGACAGACGAGGGCAATAAGAATGCTAAAGTCAAGTACTACCCATGGGTGCCCACGATTCTCCTCTTTCTGGCACTTTGCTACAAAGGTCCAAATATCATCTGGACAATGATGAAGACGGGCAAGTGGGGCTAACTTGTATAAGATGATCTGTCGTTGCAATGATTGCCAGATTGGTGACCAAAGGAAGTCGCTATAGAAGAAGTGGGAGACTTCTTACATCGTTGGTTGACGACATCTAAAAGAGCAACTTACGGAACTGTTCATACTATCATTGAAAAGATCTCTGCTTGCTTCTGTTTCTGTCTTGGGAAACGGACTGGAACGTACTTAGCAGGCCTGTATCTGGGAGTAAAGATCTGTTACTTGGCAGTGTCAGTTAGTATGATACTTCTGTTGAACAAATTCCTTGCCATCAAATATACGTTTTACGGATATGAAGTTTTAGAAAGCCTAGTTGCTAACAGAGAACTACCTGAATCGCCGAGATTTCCTACCGTGATATTGTGCGAGTTTGATATTCGTCAACTACAAAATATTCAACGGTTCACCGTTCAGTGTGTGTTGTCAGTGAACTTGTACAATGATAAAATATTTGCCTTTTTTGTGGTTCTGGTTTGTGATAATGATGATGTCTGGCCTCTACAGCTACATCATGTGGATGAAGAAAATACTCATCCCGTCAATCAGGCGTGACTTTGTGAATAAATACCTTGGTTACATTGATAAAGAGCTTCTGAAGAAAAAGAATTCGAAGGTCGTGGCAAAGTTTACTCGTGATTATCTCTCAACGGACGGTGTATTTGCTCTCAGAATGATTGAGTATAATACAAGTGAAATGGTGGTTATGGAACTCATGAGACTTCTTTGGGACAAATCACAGATTTCACTTAAGGCCTAGAAATAAGCGTCTGACAGAAACGGTTGACAAAAGATATGGATATATGGAGCCATTGTTCCAACTTTACCTTTTATTTGGAACATTACATTATGATGGAAATACCTGGTTACCGAAATTTGCGCAACAAGGAACCATGGTAAAACTTCCCCATAGACCTGCCAGACCGATCAGTACCGCACAGAGACCCGTTCATGCTAGAATCAGTTTATTATTATTTAAATAAATAATTCTCAACAGTACATTACAGATGAGGGCCGGTCGGATAGCTTTGTGGTTAAAGCATTCGTCCGTCACGCCGAAGACCCGGGTTCAATTACCAACATGGGTAGAATGTTTACAGCCCATTGCTGGTGTCCCCGACGTGATATTGCTGGACTATTGCTAAAAGAAGCGTAAAACTAAATTCACTCACTCATCATAGATGTGATATTATAATAAGTTCAGTTCATTATACATGACATGTTATATAAAGAACATGTCATGAATAATGTTCATATTACCAATTGTGGTTTATAGCGTCACTTTAATGTGAATTAGTTTATGTTACGTTTATGTTGTATTCAGATTTTCCTTATTTTTGTTTTATTTATATTTTGTTTACGTAGCAGCCTATTTTGGTAAATTAGTTTCTTCCAACGTTGTATTTCCATTCCCAATAGTAGTTTTACAATCAACATTCCACGTATTTCCCATGTTCATATGTAACACTAGCTGCCTACGTCATTGCCATCTATGTTAGGATCCCATGCATCAAGTATCTTAACGTTGCCATAAACAGGGAATAAAGACTGGACAATAGCAAATTTACGTCCTTGCAAATTTGATACGTATCAATCAAATAGCACACTGATTATCTCCAGTTTAATGATAGGCCATCAATCCATAATTAACTAAGATCTGAGTTACCTAAAGAATAAGATACTATGACATACGACATTAATGAGGTATATGCTTAAAGTGGGAACCAAAACATTCCTCAGTTCCTATTCATGTCGAAACTGATAAATCGTAACACGGTGGGCACCGCCTGTCAGCGTAAAACGTGTCAATCCAAAACTGCGCGCAGCCATAACGTATCTATTTAGAATTTTCACATTACCTTTTCTTGAAATGTTGACGATGACCCAGTAGGTTGAAGTCTATAACAAGAGGTCTCTCTGTATTTTTATGCACCCCACACCCCACACCCCACACACCCCACACCACACCCCATCGAAATATAAATCATGTAATCAACTGAAATGATTGAAATCAAATGGTCGTCACATGATCCGACATGATCTCTACAGCGTACTGTGATACTCTACAGATTTGTATGAAAAGTTATTTGAATTTTGGTTTGTTGTTGATTTAAAGCTGTGATACCATATCCGTCTATTGGATATTGGATATTTGAGGTGCGGCATTTTACGACTTTTGTGGAGTTACGCCCCTTGGGTATATCAGGAACCTATGATCGTGGGTCAAGGTCCCAGATTCGCACTGATATATTGCTTGGTATGCCGGCATGTTACTCAAGCATTTCCAAAGCATTAAGTAGGCCTGACTCATTTGGCGTGGTATAAATCACTGCATGAATAATACCGTTCAAAGTAACGTTAACACTAATTTTCTTATGTACATTCCATTACGTCACGCGTTAGAATTTCTTTTTTAGAAAGTACTGATAAATTGTGGTCCCTATATGATACTTGTTTTAGTTTTGGATATATTTACGTTTGTTTCATGGATCATTTTTGTGAATTATATTCATGAGTTACTGTTCATGGTTTATATTTTTATGAATAAACTTTAAGACAATTATTCGTTCATTTTGTCTGATATAAGGGAACCTCGGTACTCCAGACACCGTTTTACTAACCACACACACATAACCGAGGACATCCACTTCAGACGGGTCCGTCTCCGGGTTATGTTTCTGCATGTTTCATAAATAATAATTTGAACCTCGTGAAATCGAATTTAAAACAGATTATATATAAAACGGTACGATGAAATTACGATGCACATAAAAATACGATTTTGCGTTGTGTTGAAACTTAAAACGTTAACACTAGAAAATAACCAGATTGGAGTGTCTATCATTGGTTGTAAACAACAATTTAAGAAATGAAAGGAGACAATTAAATGAACCCGTAAAGACTTGGTTGACACATGTCATCGTATCCCAATTGCATAGATCGATGCTCAAGATATTGATCACTAGATTATCTGGTCGATTCACTCGATTATTACAGACCGCCGCCATATAGCTGGAATGTTGCTGATTGCGGCGTAAAACAACAAACAAACAAAACAAACAATTATACAGATCGTTCACTGAAAATCACTGATAATATCAGGTGTTCGAGAAATAGGTGGACATGTAACTCCTCATCATATTTACACAATTTGAATACAATGCAAACATACTAGTGATGGTTTGTTTGCTTTCTTACGTCACCCAGCATTTCTCACAATGTGTATGTACACAAACTTGGCCATGACATACATGTGTCCTATGCGCTTCCCGCGAAGTCGATCAAATTCCTTAAGAATAAATCTATTTATTACGCATAACAATCAATATTGTAAGTCTTATATAATCTTTATTAATAGATACAAAGAGAGTCACCAAGTATAAATAAACAAACAGTTTGGCCCTAGAAGGTCCTGCAAGTATGCATTGCGCTACTGAACTGGCCTTTCTTCGCGGACATTTCCACGTGAATAGTGTCCACGTGTCAAATTCTGTTTACAACATAATCCTTTCGTAAACAACTTTTTCCAGTTGTGGGTATAGAAATACAGCAGATATTAAAAATACAGGGTATTCATTGCATTGTGTCGTATTAATACTGAATGGACTTTTTTGCAATTTATTGTTCTCATTTAGAGACAAACGGATTATATGTGTATATCGTATACAAGTGTCATTGTACGTTCATGAAAGCTTTATTTGAACAAATTTTATGAGTGAGTATTCTCGTAGCTTCAAGGTATGGAACAACTGCAAAAAATACAACATTAACATATCTGCGTATATGTATATGTGTATGTGTACAATGACAACATAACACTTTATGATACAATTGCTATGATTTATTTTTGTGAGCGACTAAATATCCTTGTCACTACCAAACAATGGTGACACCAGGTGTTTGAGTGTTGTGTCTTGGCAACCATCACAGACACTTGCAAAGGCAAGTCAAATATACACCTGAAACAATGGTAAATGTGGTACATAATTAGGAATTGAATCATCTTTGTCGATGTGTCAAGTTTGAAAATGTCTTCTAAGCGCCCAACAAATTAAACAGTGTGGAAACTAAGCTCCTAGGCTTCGTGTTTCGTAAAGCTGAGCAAAAGCATTTTTAGACAAAGCCACGTGGATCTCTTTAAAATTTTCGTAAACCCCCAATAGCTAACTCTGTATGTGTAAATGTATACTTTGTTTCAACATTTAACCATGATGTTTCAGCCAGTTCTTGAAATAAACTGTGGCATTGCTAGCCTAGATGTGAAGTAGTCTTTGTATAACCATTTACATGTAAAGTCCCCATAAGCCTCTATACATTTATACTTATGCGGACTTCCAATATAGGAGGGGCGGTGGGGTAGCCTGTAGTTCGATTCCCCGCATGGGAACAATGTGTGAAGCTCCTGCCGTGATATTGCTGAAAGCAGCGTAAAACTAAACTCACTCCAATGGGAGATATATTGTAATATTTCTTTCTTTCCAGGTATGTGGTTGGAGCTGACCTTCCGTTACGGCTATTCCCTCCACATTCCGATGACGACATCTCCGACCGCCTTCACCACAGATGGACGGTACTGATGCTTGCCATCATGGCTATAGTGGTTGGCGTGACCGAGTACGTGGGAGACCCGATCCATTGTTGGTGTCCTGCAGAGTTCACTGACTCCCACTGTAACTACACCGAAGCCATCTGCTGGATCAAAGACACCTACTACATCCCCCAGACTGACTACGTACCCACCGACATACACCGACGGGAGGAGAAAGAAATCAAATATTATCAATGGGTTCCGATAATCCTGCTCTTCTTGGCTCTGTGTTTCAAAGCGCCTAACCTCTTCTGGAAGATGCTGAACACGAAGAGTGGTGTGAATCTTGAGAAGATGATCGCGCTCTGTGATGACTGCCAATTTGGATCCGAACGTGAGCATCACATTGAAATAGTAGGACATGTCATAGATCGCTGGCTCAGAGCATCAAAACGGGCAACGTTTGGTATCCTCCACGTCATCATTGAAAAACTCTCTGCATGCTGCTGCTGCTTTTGTCTTGGAAGAAGAACTGGAACCTACTTAGCTGGTCTCTACCTTGGCATCAAGATCCTCTACATGTTTGTTTCCGTTGGCATGCTGTTCCTGCTGAATAAATTCCTTGCGATGGACTATTGGGTATATGGAGCGGAGGTGATCGAACACCTGTTGACGAACAGCGAATTGAGGGAATCGCCAAGATTCCCAAAGGGTAACATTATGTGACTTCGAAATTCGTCAAATGCAAAACATTCAACGCTATACGGTACAATGCGTGCTGTCCATCAATTTGTTCAACGAAAAGATCTTCGCCTTTCTCTGGTTCTGGTTCGTAATCATGATATTCTTCGGGGTCTACAGCTACATCATGTGGCTCAAAAACGTCATCATCCCATCCAAGCGGATCTCATATGTACACAAATACCTATGCAGTATTGATCGTAAAATTGCAGAAGTCTCACGCTGAGGGTAAGTTCACGCGAGATTACCTTGCTACGGACGGGGTGTTTGCTCTGAGAATGTTGGAATACAACACGAATGAGATGGTAGTGTTGGACGTCATGAAGTTCCTGTGGGGAAAATTCGGAGAAAGTGTCGTCGTCTAATTGGTCACATGGAACTGGAATGGAAATCTTTCACCGGTGCTAATAAACTGTTCCCATGAAGTATTTTTGAATCATATATTGATTGAAATCATTGGATCATGGCATTTATACATTATATCGGTACATTCAGCTGGCACACCAGACATGATTTTACCCGTCCTCTAAGTCATCTACATCAATAAGTCGTGTATCAGATATTACGTCTTCTGTTCATCCAACTTTCTAGAGGGACGCCTACATACATGCAAAGAACTCATGCATTCCGTAACACATTCGATATATAGAAATCTAAATCTCTACACTTTTCACTATTCTTTTATCTGGAAAATAAATTGAATGTGATTCAAAAATTAAATCATATCATGACAGTGCAACGTCTTTATTGTACATTCTCTCTGTGACAATATTGCACATATACAGTCAATGTATCGTACTTTCATAAATATTAGTAATTGTTTTCTGTTACAGTTATGTTTTGTTAACATCTTTGTAATTATGTATACCTTCATTCTCAAACCTATAAAATTGCACAAATTATAGCACAAATATATAACGCTCAAATTGTCAGTGGAATAATTATTTTTTCATATTTATTTGACAAACACTTCGGCGTGTACGTTTGCGTGTACATAAAATATCATATAACATGTGGGGCGGTAGGAGGTGGGGTAGATGGTTAAAGCGTTGAAGACCCGTGTTCGATTCCCCACTTGGGTACAATGTGTAATGCCCATTTCGGGTGTGTCCAGCTGTGATATTGCTGGAATATTGCTAAAAGCGCCGTAAACCAAACTCACTCACTCATAAAACATCTTTGTCAGGGATCCAGAAGAACACTATAGAAGACTATCAATGCCACCCTGAGGATTACCAAAGACGTTGGACAGTAACCGAAACGGTTGTAAGAACTGCTGTCTTTTGGCAGCATGAACTCTTAAAAGTTTTTTCTTTGCCATGGGTTTTTCATTTACTGTCAGAACTGCATTATTATGACATTTATTCAAGAATTGATAGTTTTTCCCTGGTTGTGTTGCATTTTTAACAGTTTTTACCCCACTATATTTTGCTGTGGTAATTTTATAGTTCCATGTTTTTATGTTGTGATAGTGATGTTAACTGGTTGTGTGTTATTTACGTATTTTGATTCAACCCATTTTACTGTACATTAAGTTTTTCACCATGCCCCACTTTACGGGAAATATTCCAAATATTACGTCAAGTGCAACTGTACTTTACCCAAATTATAAAAAACAAAGGGCAGCGCTTACAAGGCAGCATTGAGCTCGAGGGACAGAAGGAAGTTATATTTTCGGGTAGAACGACTGGGGAAGAAATATACATATTAATGGTGCGGACTTCAAAGGAAATGTGTTGCACGTGTTATGCAACAATATTTGGGTTTTCATAGCATCTCTATTCCTGTTTCTAATTTGGACTTACTGGGAGGTATATAATCGCAGAGAGACACGTTTTCATCATATTTTTTGTTTATTTATAGCAATTATTCATGATTGTTGGGGTTTTTTTGCTTTTATTTTGGGGAAGGTATCTTTCAATGCTGGCATAGGTTGAACAAAACTCCAACCCCGCAGAAAAAAAGGTTTGAAGATAGTATCCTTATTTATGAGTGACGGGATTTTTATTTATCATATGATATATATTGTTTGCTCGTGTAATCGTGTCTTTTGCTATTATAGAAAATAATACAAGCATTATGATATATAATATATATGTTTACCTACATCTGTCTATTTTCATATTTATATCAGTCAGTGCTAATTTATCAACAAAACAATGAATAAATCGGTTTATATACGAATGTGTTTTATCTTTATTTGTATTTCCAATGGCACTTCACCGGTTAATGACTGGATAGGTAAATATCGTTAAGCACCCTCTCATGAGACCCGTGAAGATCCGGGTTGGAACTGGTCTTCAGCAACCCATGCTTGTCGTGACTAACGGGATCTAGGGGTCAGGCTCGCTGACTTGGTTGACACAATAACATCGTATCCCAGTTGCGTAGATCGATGCTCATACTGTTGATCACTGGATTGTATGGTCCAGACTCGGTTATTTATGACCGTCGCCATATAGCTTGAATATTACCTAGTGCGGCGTTAAACAACAAACTGTCATGAAACATCATGATTACTCTTACTTTGTAGTAGCATGAGTCATGTACGGGTAACGGAAACCAAGCTATGTTTATCACTATGTTTAACGACATTGGGGTGTATATAATCTCGTTTACTCACGTCATTTATAGCCAGTACATTGTGCAGACACTCTGAAAGAGAAAAAAATGAATCACGCTCATGAACCAGATCGTATGAATCTCTCCTGGGAAATGTTGTGTTCCTTGAGAATGAGACTACACATTGTGTACACGTAATAATAATCTACTAAACCTTTATTTGACTGCACTGAACGCTACTTAAAATTATGGACACTCTTGGTTTGGACAGGAGCCAGACTAGTTGTACCAAGTGACTTCATCGATCACCTACGCGTGATTACGCTCGAAGACAAAGATGAGAGTGTTGCATTCTGCTCTTACTCTCAATGTCAGTCACTTGATTAAATACACACAGGAATCTGCCATACAGCTTGATTATTCCTATTTTGCTTATTTTACGTCAAATATGTTTGGTGGAAAGGTTCCAACTGTTTCCTTACCCGTATGTCAGTGTATTTAAAAAGTAAACACATGTATTAAAATTTCAGTCACGTTAAGAACAGCATCTGGTCTACTAAAATGAGTTAAAAATCAGTTCAAGTAGTCTTAAAACCAGTCTTAACTATCTCAGAAACAAATTCCATTTGGCGTAAAAGGAAAACAAAGCTGTGAAAACTATTTGAATGGATCCCTGAACATCAGAGTTGGCATCAGGTGTTGACACCGGGTGTTCGCGAAAAGGGAAACTACCAACCGTTCTCAAAATGTTCCGAAAAATATCATGTTTATGCATGTGTGAGTGAGTGAGTTTAGATTTACGCCGCGCTCAGCAATATTCCAGCTGTATGGTGGCGGGCTGTAAATAATCGAGTCTGGACCAGACAATCCTGTCTGAGCATGAGCATGGATCTGCGCAATTGGGAACCGATGACATGTGTCAACCAAGTCGGCGAGCCTGACCACCCGATCCGTCCGCGGACGAGGAGTACAGGGTTATACAACGTCGGCAGACGCTTGCTATTAATGATACCGTTGTTTTTGTTATTGTACATTCATATGAGACTTTAATTAAGAAGGGTTATGAGGCCTTTTATTAACGGGGTTGGCGGGGTAACCTAGCGTTTAAGCGTTCGCTCGTCACGCTGGGTTCGATTCCCCACATGGGTACAATGTGTAAAGCCCATTTCTGATGTCCCTCGCCGTGATATTGCTTGAAGATTGCTAAAAGCGGCGTAAAACTAAACTCACTCATTCGATCATTTGATCAACAATAACGACTATGCTAACAACTCACCCACAAATGACCACTTTCGTAAGTGTCAAGAGAATTTTAGATCAGATCTTAATAGGCAGACCTATTGTAGCAAGGCATTTTTGGCAAAGTAACCCACCTTATAGTTTGAGGAGTCATTTAACATAGAACGTTTATGCAAAAGAATACCCAGTCGTGACGATCTCAGGACTAAAATGTTTATGGAGTAAGGGGTAAAAATAGTTGTGAAAACTAAATGAATGGATCACTTTCCCCACAGGAGCTTTGCCCACGAGGACCTTTCACCACACGAGCAAGTAACTCCCCACTGCCCACACGTACCTGATTCGGAGTTGAGCAGCAGACATGCGTATGAGGAAGTATTGCATAATCATATCTTATCATGATCCACACGTAAATACACCTACAGAAGCGTGCTTCCTCGAATTCAGCCAATACAACTTGCTGAACTGTCACTTAATACCTTCTCGCTTACACCTTACATTATTCCCATTGCTGTTGTCATGTAAGTACACATTTCATTCCTTTGCTCCGCCGTATATCTTTAAATGAACAGTGACTTAAAATGTACAGTTATATGAACATGGTGTAAACGTATTGATTTTCCTCGCCAAATTGGGAAATGGTATTTTCTAAATATATCAAAATTTCAATAATTGTGTAGGATAAAGTTATCTATGAATTCTTTTCCCTTGCATAACTTTGATAAGTGGTCACCGCTCACTTTCGTGGAATATGCAATATGCATCAATGCCAAATTCGTTAGGGGCATTTTCATTTAATTGTCGTGGTTCACTGGTCGACCTATTGCTGAAACAGTTTTATCGGAATTCTTTTCTTCCTTCTTTGCGTCGTTTTAAGCCGACAAGCATTTATGGATATTGGACATGCAATAATGTCCAAGTTAAGTGATTTCAATCTGTAACAGTAGAAATTTAATATAAATTCTCTTATAGCCTTGTGAAACTTTATATCCATTGTGACCCGTGAAGGTCCGGGTTAGAATTGATCTTCAGCAACTCATACTTGTCGTAAGAGGCGACTAACAGGATCGGGTGGTCAGGCTCGCTGACTTGGTAGACACGTGTAATCGTATACCAATTGCGTAGCTCGATGCTCATGATGTTGAACACTGGATTGTCTGGTCCAAGCTCGATTATTTACAGACCGCTGCCATATAACTGGAATATTGCTGAGTGCGGCGTAAAACTCACTCACCCACTCACTCATATCCATTGTGTGTGTATAAAATGATGTTTCATTTTAGGAACGTGCGGGGCATCAACACTGTATTCGCGTCGGTTATGTTTGCATTCCCCTTGCATGCATGTGTCAGAACACTCTGGCACCGTCTTCACTGTCAGTGTCCATCTGAATTCAGCGATGAGCAGTGCCTCTTCATGAAACACAGCTGCAACATGCATGGAACATTGGTCAGTGTGAACACATCTCTCTTGCATGGACATTTACTGGACAGCAAACAGAGAGCACAATATGTAACCGATAATAAAATAGACCTTCAGATGTTCACACTGTACTCAGTACTTA